TGTCATCGACTGAATGTTCACGTGCCCTGTAAGTTCACATAATGAAGCTCTAATCCCGGTAGAATGGTATTTGAAAGAAGGCCTTGGGAAGATAATTATGATTAGAGTAGGCCGTGAAAGTGGGATTAATGCCTTTACAATTACAGGAAGAGGCACAAGGAGAATGTCTCTGTCTGCAAGCACCCATCTAGAAAGGTCATGTGAGGACACAATCCGGAGGAGGATTTTCACTAAGGACCTGAACATGGTGACTCCTTAATTTTGGACTTCACAGCCTCCAGAACCATGATAATAAATACATGTTTGCTATAACAGACATCTATGGCATTTCATCATGGCAGCACAAATTAAGACAGTGGCACACTTTTCAGACCCTTGCTGGAATACTGTCTCCTCTTCCAGAAGTTTTCCTTAGTCCCTTTAGACACCGTCAGATCATCTGTTTGTTTGTTATTTTATTCATGGTCTCACAGAATACTGAGGCCCTTTTTCTTTCAAAAGGTAATTGTACACTCAACTGAGGCTATATCTAATTAATACCCCTTTCATAACTAAGGTTTAAGCAGTGTGAGCCAGTGATATTTTTTATCATGATTATGTGGCCCCATACTGGCACTTAATACATACTCAATAAATACTTGTCATGTGACAAGTGGGATTCCTTGGGTGGGAATGCACAAAATTTACACAAAAATTGCACAAAAAAATGCACAAAAATTGTTGAAATTAAAAGGTATTACAGTAAAAGACACATTTCCGTGAATCCTCAAGATACTCTCCCTTACTTTGAACATACTTATCCCATCATTCTTGCCACTTTCTAAAGCAGTTTATGTTTATAGCAATCTCTGTTAAATAAACACATTACTGTGTGTCCTCATCCACATAATTCCCTGGATCTGGCATGTGTAAATATTCGCTCTTTCTCAAACTCAAAATGACCATGAAAAGTAAATGTTTCGAAATAGTTCAAGAAAATCTACACAGCCACTGCAGTGCAACTGAAGACACTCAAGAAATAAGACTTTCAGAACTGCTTCAGACAGTGCCAAGAATGGAAGGAGTCTGTTCAGAGTGAGAGTATACTGAAATGCAAGACGGAGGACATTTGAAAATGTATCTTTGACTGTATCAAATTTTAAAAAGTTTAAACACCCACTATATTTTGCTATCAGACTTCATAGGTTTTAGAAGCACATTTATTTAATCAGAAAATGTATTATTTTTTCTATTTTGAGTAAAAGTCAAAACATGAAGAAATAGTACATAAGTAAACTCAAAATGACCATGAAAAGTAAATGTTTCGAAATAGTTCAAGAAAATCTACACAGCCACTGCAGTGCAACTGAAGACACTCAAGAAATAAGACTTTCAGAACTGCTTCAGACAGTGCCAAGAATGGAAGGAGTCTGTTCAGAGTGAGAGTATACTGAAATGCAAGACGGAGGACATTTGAAAATGTATCTTTGACTGTATCAAATTTTAAAAAGTTTAAACACCCACTATATTTTGCTATCAGACTTCATAGGTTTTAGAAGCACATTTATTTAATCAGAAAATGTATTATTTTTTCTATTTTGAGTAAAAGTCAAAACATGAAGAAATGGTACATAAATATGGTGAGGCTGATGACCATATGACTGTGAAAATTATCATCTAGCAGGCACACATAAAATCACAACAAATGGGCTGAATAAAGAATCAAATTTAGATCACAACAAATGATCTAAAAAATGTAAAATAATCTTATATGATCTAAATAATAGAAAATAATGTGTAAAAGAATAATTCTTTTACATAAGAATGTTTCTTAAGTGAGGTATATGCAAATTGTGTGTTTACTTAGGTGATTAGGGTCATTAAAATGTTAGTTCTTTTTAAGGCAAAACAGAACTCCATTCAAAATCCATTTGTGAACATATATGTATATGTGCATGCTTTGGAACCAGTCAAGTTGATTTTAAATTGTACTTGAAAGGGAAAGTACTTGAAAATGGCCAAAGTATTATTTTTAAAAAAGAATGAAAGATAATTTGCCTTGTCCATAAGCCTTTCATTAAAATCATTATAAATAGAATAATATAAACAGAAAAGTTTCTGCTAATTGTTATTATAATCAGAATACTATGATTAACCATAAAGATAAATAGATAAATGGATTTGCCACCTGCC